AGATGTCTTGTCAACTTTTCCTTCATAATATCTCTCAAAACATCCTTTTCTAGTGACCTGGTTTGGCTGTGTCCCTACCCAGATCTAATCTCCAATTGTAATCTGAATTGTAATCCCCACGTGTTGAAGGAGGGACCGGGTAGAAGGTGATTGGATCTGGGGGGCAGTTTCCCCCATGCTGTGCTCGTGATAGTGACTGAGTTCTCATGAGATCTGGTTGTTTGATAAGTATCTGGAGCTTCCCCCTTTCTCTCGCCTGCCACCACTGTGGGATATTTCTTGCTTCCCCTTCACCTTCTGCCACCATCATGAGTTTCCTGAGGCCTTCTCAGCCATTTGGAACTGTGAGTCAATTAAACCTCTTTTGTTTATAAATTATTCCAGTCTCAGGTAATATCTTTATAGCAGTGTGAAAACGGACTAATACACCTGGTTGTGTTGTTCAGCAACTTCTCATTAGTGCTCTTTAGCCACTGAGATGATTCTTTCCTTGCAACCCTATGTTCAAAGCCTTCTCTGTTCAGTCTTTCCTGCCAACATCTGCCAGATCACTCTTCAGAAATGTTGCCTGCATCACGTAAGTCCCTGTTGAGATCCACAATGGCTCCCCACTGCCAGCAGAGTAAATACTCCATTCTCACCCTTCCGTCGAGTAGTTGTAGGTTTCGGTTTCAATTTTATCATCCTCTGCACCGTATCATTTCTTCTCTACATCACCCAGGCAAGTCTCCTCCCCATCAATGAACTGTGTCACACGCCTTTAGTTTTTAGTTCTGTCTTTTGAACATTTATCTTGTTGTGTTTAATCCTAATGATTGAACGTCACCTAGTGCTGTAATATTTTAAATTTCATTTGAAATATTAGGTAAAGGTTTTCTAGTTAAACAGTTGATTTTTCTCTTTCCTTTTCTTTCTTTCTCTCTCTCTCTCTCTCTCTCTCTCTTTCTTTCTTTCTTTCTTTCCTTCTTTCTTTCTTTCTTTCTTTCTTTTTTCCTGGGTGAAAAAAGAAAGAGAGCTGGTCTGCAGATCAAACTCTTTCTGGACTTAGAGCCATTTATCAGCCTTATATGCAAATGGCCCTTTCATTTCATGTAATCACAGTGCATATAGATATAATTGATCAGAACTGCCACAAATTATCTCTATGCTTAATTTATTCCTAATCTAGTTCTCTATTTATGCATCTAAATGACAAATACTAAACACAGAAAAAAAATTGTGTTCATTAAATTGAAATATGATTTGTTATATACCTTGTGAAGTTTAGTGGCCTTTAGCTAGAGTCTATTTTTGATTGAACAAAGGGCTTAATTATTATAACCAACATCCTTTTAGCATTATCTTCCCTTTGAAATATGGCAGTTAAAAATTTCAGTCCAAGCAATTACTTATTTGTTAAAAAACAGGCTACCTTTGAGGCTTGCATTAAAGATGATAAAAATTAGCCATCTAAAACCATTTCAATTTTATGAAAAATAAAACTGAGTGCAATGTTTCAGCTTGAAAGCTCAGATGATCTTTAGGGGAAATTAGTGATGTTGCTAATAGTGGTTTCAATTTATAATACACTAGAAGGAGGCAATCAAAGAGGCAAAAACAAGATAAATAATCCTTAAAATGGAACAATTAAATAAAGATCAGTTGTGACAAAATTATAAGATAACATTCCCAGACTTGGAAAGGCAATGTCTTTCTTTTTATTAATTAGAGACAATCTATATTTTACAATATGTAACCATTTACCAGGCAAGGGTGTGTTTTCTGCTGACATAAAATGAATGCATTTCTAGACTTCTTTTCAACAGGGAAGGTGGCTAAGGTGATAATTTCTCATTTCTCTAGGTATAACTTTGATAAACTCCAGGCTCTCGATCATTTTCTTTTTGAAATTAAACTACATATATAAACCATGTGCATCAAAGCTCAGGCTAGTGCAATATATTTTTTTTTCATTTGGTACAGATATTAAAATACCTGTTTATTTACACATATAGCTGAGTGTAAATATGAAATGATAAAATGTCACATAGAGTTCTCTCTGTGTAGTTATATTCCTCTCCATAATACTCATGCCTGTATTTTAAACATTATGAAATGAATATTATATTTTGTGAATTTAACAGATGTTGAATGTGTTGCTGTTACCTCATTTACATATACAGATTAGAATGTTTTACTTTGTTATGCGGTAGCTTGATCCCTTAATTTTGATAATCTCAAACTGTTTTTATTAGATTTACAAGAAAAAATAGTTATTTCATCAAAAAATTCATTGGCATAATATGCATCTATTCATACATAGAATAAAATTTAAGTATATATATATTACTGTATTCCCTGTCCCGTTATAAAGAGTCAGAATGATAATGTTAGAGCTTTCTTGATTCATATTGCTTAAAATTCATGCAAAAGGGTATAAATACTGGTTTTGCACTTTTGTTTAGCATTTTCATGCATATTTATTCCCACATAAGTAAATATTTCTCACTTTCAAATTCCTTTTCTTCTTTCTGAGAAATAAACAGGCCAGGAAATCAAACTGTAAGCAAAATAAATTCCTAGACTCTGCTGCATTTACTTTATTGGGGAATGAAGTGTGGCTTTTTAGTATTACCCTTCTCTTCCCAGGATATAATGGCCATGAGGGAAACAATGAGGGCTTCCCTTGCAACACTGGGCTCCAGATGGTCTTCAGTGCATTCTTTGGATACCGGCTCCCCAGGAGCCCTCTCCCAACCCAGCCCAGTGGTGTCCCTCCCTGGCTGTTTCTCTTATAGGGTGTCTTGATGATGTATATTTTTGCCTCTTGCATTCCTGTTTCTCAGCCCCAAGGTGTTTCTGTTCTTCAGAGATCCCCAAATCTTTCAGGTAGAGGGAAAATTTCTAAGACCAGAGTCCTCTTAACAGTCACTGCCACTAAAAGTATAAAAGGAAGCTGGACTAGAATGGGAGCACACACTAGCATGAACACTACATTTTAGTGCTGTTGCTTCACTCACTGATAAAACATGGCCCAGTGCATGTTTCAGTGTGGGCAGAAGGTTGTCTGCCAGAGAAATGACTTGTACTCCACATGCATGAAACTCCCAAGGAAATCAGTAATTTGTCTTCATCAAGACAATGAAAAGACAGCATAGTGTAGAGTGAAGCTTTTAAGGAGTAACTGATCTCAGTTCCACAACTTGGGTGCTATGCGGCTTTGGCAAACTCACTAATGTCTTTCAACCACCTGGCATTTACACTGAAAGATAGTTTTTAGGATCAAATTTGTTATTTTTAAGTGTTTGCTAGGGTATGTAGCACATTATAGGTATTCAATAAATTATATATGTGTATTTACACTCATACACACAAATATTTGTATAAGATTTTATAAATCTAAAGACTGATATTCCCCAAACTATATTCTATTGAAAGCCGTTTTCAACAATTTACCTGAGAAAAATTACTTCCACTATTGGGAAAATAGTATACTTCATTGGGGGATAAAACTGAGGTTGAAAGAGACTACTAACTAAATTAAAACCTATAATTAATGAATGGCAGAGCTGAAATTTACAGTCTAGGGCAGGGGTTGCAAACTGCTATCTGCCAGCAAAATCCAGCCAGCTGTCTGTTTTATAAATAAAGTTTTATTGGAACACATACCCATTCATTATTATCATCTATGGCTGGCTCCATGATACAATGGCAGACCCCGGTAATTGATACAGAGACAAAATGAACTGAAAGCTTAAATTATTTGCTATCTGACTTTTAAAGGAAAAGCTTGCTGACCCTTGGTCTAGAATAGACTGGAATAGGAATGAGGTATGGTGAGCAGACATTGGAATAAGCCCTACCACCGCCAATTTTCAGTGAGACCTCAAGTAATTCAACTGTTCTGGACTTCAGCTTCTCACGTATACAAACCCCAACCCTGTATTTCAACTTGATTAACCACTGTGGTGCATATTTAGCTGCATATTTAAATGCTCAGTAGGCATCTGAATATTATGTCCTTAGGAGCAAAACTTTGCGATGAATTGAAGTGGTTATAATAATTCGTTTTGAGTTTCTGCCTTACCATTCACTTCTACATATATTTTTTTGCGGGCTTATATCTTGAAAGTTCTCTTGGGCACCACTATTATGTTTGTGATGTCCCAAGTATTACTATTCTTCATCCTAAGACTCTATTAAGATTGAGCTGCCAGCCTTCTTTATCTGTTTGTAGTTTTCTCTGGAGACTCCATATCAACAATGGCACAGTGTGATCAGAGCGATGCATTATCACAAAGTCAAATCAATCTAAGGCAAATGAAGAGTGAAAGAGATTGATAGACTCAAGACTTATACCACATGATAACCTGGTGATTTGCAGTTTCCATTTAAATGGGAAGAATCCTCGAGATCGGAAAACTCTGTGCACCCTTGTGATCATTTTGCTGTGGAAAATATTTACTGTTCTGCCTTTGGCCTCTTTTCTGGACAAATGGGATTGCATGTTACATATCTGATTTAAGATTATTTCAAATTCTCTGAATTTAGGGCTGCCTCCCCTTCCTTCGCAATTCATTATAAATAAATTTGCACAAAATCAAGGGCAGGTGCAAATTGATTTATGTCATTTGTTTCTTTGAAATAAAGTAAAACTGCTCCTCTTTCATAGAACTTTAGATAAAAGACACCTGTTTCTGATCACTTTTGCCTGGCTGCCAAATTGCAAAAGAAAAATTGAGTTCCAGCATCATCATTTACCAACAGTGTGATCTCAGCCAAATTACTGAGTTCCTCTCAATTTCCTTATATGTGAGATGGAGATTTAAAAAATACACTAGTAACTTTCTCATATGCTTATTCTGAGAATTAAGTGCAAAAATGCATGTAAAGTGCTTAGCACAATGTCTGGCAAAGAATAAGCACCCAATATATCTCAGACCATGACATGCTTTCTCAATTCTTTAGGATTTGATATTGCTGCAATGACCAAAGTAATTTCTTTTTTCATGTAAAATTTACCTGGGAGAAGGGACTGAACAGTGTATCTTTGGTTGATATAAAAAGATTGGAAAGATAGGACTTTATTTATTTTTTCAACCAACAAAATCCAGATTGAAATTACCTCCGTCATCTTTGCCATTACAGTGATAGATATTTGCCTTATGCATGAATACCTGAAAAAGTCAAGTGTAGAGTATCAGAAAATTTATTGTTGTACATAATTTATCAAGAATTTTCAAAATCCTTTTAAAAACCAGAGTTTCTTCATCTGCGGTTCCATAGACTAGCTTTCTGGGGATCCATAAAACCCCTGAAATTTTATGGAGCATTCTCTGTTTACGTTCATTTTCTAGAGAGAAGTTTCATAGCTTTAATGAGATTCTTGCTGTGGTCTTTGATCTGTAGATCAAAGGCAAAATTCTTAGCAGGATCCAGAGGCCCAAGAAACTTTAGAATTTTGTGAGTATATAACCATGGCTAAGAACTTCTTACTTTACAATAGTTTACTTTTTTTTTTTTTTTTCATGAAAGCTAATGAAAAAGCACTATGCAATGTGTAAAAGGTAACGAAACTGCTTAATAAGATAAATAATTACATATTTGTGGCACTGATGGGCCAGCTAAGTATGTTCAGGTGACACTTCCGTGGAGGGAAAACGAATTCATTATAATTTAAAAGCACTTTACAATAGATGCATAACAAACGAGGTAATAAAACATAATCAGTAGAAGCCTTTTAGCTGATATTGAATTCTAAAGAAAAAAACTACTTGTACTTTTTTTTTTTTTTTTTTTTTTTTTTTTTTTTTTTTTGACACGGAGTCTCGCTTTGCTCACTTTGTCACCAGGCTGGAGTGCAGTGGCATGATCTTAGCTCAATGCAACCTCCGCCTCCCAGATTCAGGTGATTCTCCTGCCTCAGCCACCTGAATACCTGGGACTACAGGCACATGCCACCATGCCCAGGTAATTTTTGTATTTCTAGTAGAGACAGGGTTTCACCATGTTGGCCAGGATGGTCTCGATCTCTTGACCTCATGATCTGCCCACCTTGGCCTCCCAAAGTGATGGGATTACAGGTGTGAGCCACCGCACCCGGCCTACTTATACTATTTGATTGTGTATTCTATTCAGTTAACCATTGCGACTTTCACTGAGAGGCACCTGGAATTCTAAATCCTCAACATTTTGCTCACGTGTCCATTATTTTAGCTGGGCTTACCACATGCATATAGCCTGACGTGAAGGAGTTTCTTCTTTTCTGTCCTGAACAATGCTCCACGCTTATCATGGGTGATGGTGGGAGGGTGGAGGGCAAAGCGGGGCTGGAGGATTTCATCGAAAGATTTGACCTCCAGCTCCACCTCCACCCAGCCCCTGCTCTGTACCCTGGAAAGATGTTTGGAGAGCAGCCGCCATCCTTTCCTTGAATACCTACTGTCATGTATGTCTTCCCCAGACCAAACCCTCTATAATGGAAATATACAAAGTTATTTTCTTAAGCTGCAGTAACTCTCAAAAAAGCAATAGAATATGAAAGAGAACAAAGGCTGTCACTGAATCTAATCTATTCATACTCTTAACCAAAGAAGGGAAGGGTTTGTTTATGGCTTCGGTTTTCCAAAAAGAGACCTTTCCAAATGTCCCCTCTCCGCGGCCCTCTTTCATGTCTCTCAGTTGAAAGACCCCATACCCCTTTTACAAAACTCCTTGATGCCCCACAGGGGGAAATTCCTCCCTTTTGGTCCCTTGTGTCCTGCAAAGTTGAGTGTCAGATGTGAAGGCTTCAATCCTGTATGTGACAGTGAACCTGGGTGCTCCAATTCCAGTTCAATCTTCCTAGCAGAAAGTCATGCAGTTGATTGCCTCATTAGTTTTCCTAAAAAATAAGCACATCTTGTCATATTTCCATTTATTTTCTCATCATATGAAGAAAGGGTAGAATTATTTCTTTTGACCTTGCCCCTAGCAAACAATATCACCATTTTTTTGTGTGAATAGTATGGGTGGATATTTTTTCCAGTTTCCTGTCACAAAAAGGTCTGTTCTCTAAGATCTAGAAATGTTTGAAAGACAATAACTATTGCTGTCATAATTTATGTGGGAACAAATGGAAGCATTATTAATACTGGTTATTTACTTAACTAGTCCCAGAAGTCCAGAGACAGAACTTATTCTAAAACTACCTGACAATATTTTCTACTAAACCTGTATTTGAAGGCATAAGAGATATTATTTATTTCACTAAGAATTATTTTTTAAAATTCAGAACTCTTGGAAGTAAATGCTTTACAGTTTTAAATTTTAATTTTTAGGAATTTAATAAAGAAACAAAATAATAATGTACCAGGAAGAACAGTAGTTTTGGAATCAAACAGACTTGGAATTAGTTCTGGCTGAATAAAGGAGATGCTGAGACCTCGGTAAGATTATGTAACCTCTCCAGTGGCTTGGTGAACCCCAGCTACCAAGCTGATGATATCTAGTCAGAGAATATTAAAAGAAGTAACTGCTGAAAGTCTCAATCACACAATGTTTGTGGAATAAATGTCAATTCATTCAATATATTTTTTACTTTTGTGGGAAGTGTAGGATCCAGCCCTCCGTTATTGCTGGTGTGGCTATAAGGTTATGGTCAATGATACATGGTAGAAGTGATGTGTGCCACTCCTAGGCCTTGCCATTAAAAGGATTGTGAGGGCACTCACCTGGTCCTTTCTCCACATCCTGCTGGCTGGGAGATAAGACCTAGAGTAGCCAACTGGGGCACACAACGGGGGGCCAGGGCGAGGAAGGCCTGAACCCTTGCCTGAATGGACTGTTGTGTGACAGATAGATGAACTGCCATCAGTTTAAGTTGCTGTCTTTCCTTTTCTTTTCTTCCCCTTTCCTTCTTCTCCCTTTCCTTTTCCTTTCCCTGTTCTCCCTCTCTCCTTCCATCCCTCTCTCCCTTCCTTCCTTTCTTCCCTCTCTCCCTCCTCTCCTTTTCTTTCTCTCTGTTTCTTTTTCTTTCTTTCTCTGTTTCTTTTTCTTTCTTTCTTTCTCTCTCTCTCTTTCTTTCTTTCTTTCTTTCTTTCTTTCTTTCTTTCTTTCTTTCTTTCTTTCTTTCTTTCTTTCTTTCTTTCTTTCTTTCTTTCCTTCCTTCCTTCCTTCCTTCCTTCCTTCCCTCTGGTTCTTTTTCTTTCTTTCCCCTTCCTTCCTTCCTTCCTTCCTTCCTTCCTTCCTTCCTTCCTTCCTTCCTTCCTTCCTTCCTTCTTTCTCTCTTTATTTCTCTTTCTTCTTTCTTTCTCTCCCTCCTTCCTCCCTTCCTTCCTTCCTTCCTTCCTTCCTTCCTTCCTTCCTTCCTTCCTTCCTTCCTTCCTTCCTTCCTTCCTTCCTTCCTTCTTTCCCTAGACACTGGAGATAAAGATATTTTTCAAGAAAGCATTCCATTCTTCCATATCTCATTATTTAGTTGAAAAGATTGAAGCACAAATTTAAAATTTCTTTTGTGTGTATGTGGACACAGGGACAAGGAGAAAGGAACAATTAATTCTGCCTTGGAGGGTCATGAAAAACTACAGAGAAGTGGCAGCACTTGAACTTATCTTTGGAGGGGGTTTGCTGGGTTGAATGAGTGGCAGTGGAAGTGACGTTCCAAGCAGAGACAACCCCACCAGCAAAGACACAGCTTTGAAGCAGCTTCACAGTTTGGTACCTGGAGTGCGGGGTTGTGGTTGGTAGGAGATAAATGAAAAAGACAGGTTGAGGATTCGGTAAGAACTGCTGAATTCCATTCTAAGACATTGTACATTGTCCTGTTGGCGTTACAGCATAAGTAGGCTGGTTTGTAGAATATTGTTGACATAACGAAGGCCAAGCCTGAGATAGTGGCAGTAGAATAAAAAGGAGGGAACAGAAGTCAAATGGTTTCTGAGATAAAACTAGAAGTTTATCCATGGGGTGAGGGAGTAACAGCTGAAAGAATCAAGGATTCCTCTTAAGTCCTTGTCGGGGAAACTGTGTGAATAGTCATATCATAATCCGAAATGAAAGAGCAGGAAAGAATTTTAGGGTTGGGTACTGTGTGAATCTATCTGCATACAGCTCTAAAAGCCCTGACTCTGGCCCATGGTACACACTCAATATATATTTATTGACCTTGGCCCTGAAGGTTAGTCTAGGCCTGTCCTGTGAGTGCCACATGGATTCAGACACAACACAGAGCGAAACTCACAGCCTGCCTTTCTACTTCCTCACTGGGTATTTTTCAGACATCTTCACCAATCACTTGCACCAGCCAGCTTTGTACCATGGTGCTCTATAACTCTCATAAAAAGCGAGAAAATAAGTCCAGCATTATAGAGAGAAACAAAAAATCAACAGCTGTAATAAACATTCACACTCAGGTCCAAAATCAGCATAAAAATCTAAGAAAAACCTTTTGCCTAAATTTGCCATGATCCAATCCAATGAAAACAAACAAGAAACAAACTGGCCCTGAATGCTGAATCTGATATTCAGGACAGCAGACGCTTCACAAGAATTGCAGATAAAAGGCCCAAGATTGAATTTCTTGAGGTCAGACTTCAGCACATTTTACTGCCTGTGGCTGAGAAGGGAACAATTAGAAAACAGGCAGTCACGACAGGATGTTTTCCCTACTGCCTCCCATAATCACAAATGCACACAAACCACAACAGCAAAAAGCCTGCACAAAATACTTCATAATTTCTTTTCATTATTCAATTGCCACTCTGCAATGTGCAAAGCTCTTTTGCAAGACAAGGTCTCATTTAATCCTCACAAAGATCTGAGAGCTAAGAGTTGTTAACATAATCATTTTCTAGACAGTGAACTAAAACTCAAAGGTTAAGCTTGTCCAAGATCTCACATACACACTTGGCAACAAGGTCCCTAGTAAGCAGAGACAATGTGTTCCTATGAGGGTAGGGACAATGCATTTCATTCTCATGCCTGAGCACCTGGTATAATATCTGGCACACAACAGACAGGAGAAATCAATGGGTAAAAAATGAGTTAAGTAATGGAAAAAAAAAGGACTGTTCCCAAATGTACTTTTACCACATGATACTACTTCTTAAAAGAGAATGCAGTGTATTTAGTCAGAATGTTAACTTTGGACATCTTATAATGCTCAAGAAAAAAAAAGAAAGACCTTTTTCATCTGTGGACGCCTTCACATTATCCTACCAAGGTCACATTTTCCCTTTCCACATCACTCAGTGCTTTTGGGTTTTATATTAGCTTTGTGCTGAAAATTGAAATTGGAATATTAGAACTCAGTTGGGGAGCGCACTAATTTAATTAAATATTAAAAGCCAGCTGGTTTTATGTTATGTGGGCAAATGAGAGAATTAATGATTTGGTACACTTTCTTGTTCCTGTCAAGCTACAAGAACATGAAGAATAGCTCATTCATACCCAGTTACAAAAGGTGAGATTGAAAAATTAGGTCTGCCTTATTAAAGTGTTTCCATCTATAGTCTTTTGAGAATAGGGTAACTTACTTATTTATAAAATGCCTCAGAAGGTACTAGCTCCTGGGCCAATGGGAAAGGACCTGAGAGATCTTTTTATCTGACATCTTGAGTAAAGCCTCACCTGGGAAAAGGAATCCACTTTAGCATCCCGAAGTGTTATCTTTTTGTGCAAGAGGTTGGGAGTCAGTTGGGCGCCTGCGGCTGTCAAATGACTGTAAGCTCATCAGCTCCTTTAAGACTTAAAGAATATCTTAGAAACGCAGAGTGTGAAATGAGGTAATAAGAGTGACATGTGAATAGTAGAAATGATTTTTAGTCCTCACCAGTCACGCATTGTACTCAGAGTTCCCAGGTTTCTTGGTCCTCAGGCTTCCCAGATTTCTTGGTCCTATGAGTACACACACAGTATCTATACAAGGCAATATATTAAAAAAGCAAGAGTTCTCTATTTACCCCAAGGCCGAATGCTCAACTTTCTGATGAGTGTTCTCAGTTTGTTAGAAGATTTATGATTGCCTTTCTTATTCCAGATCTTTTCTATTTTCTTTTTCTTTTTTTTTTTTTTTTTGAGACAGAGTTTCGCTCTGTCGCCCAGGCTGGAGTGCAGTGGCCAGATCTCAGCTCACTGCAAGCTCCACCTCCCGGGTTTATGCCATTCTCCTTCCTCAGCCTCCCGAGTAGCTGGGACCACAGGTGCCCACCACCACGCCCGGCTAGGTTTTTGTATATTTTTAGTAAAGACGGGGTTTCACCGTGTTAGCCAGGATGGTCTCGATCTCCTGACCTCGTGATCTGCCCGTCTCGCCCTCCCGAAGTGCTGGGATTACAGGCTTGAGCCACCGCGCCCAGCCTGATCTTTTCTATTTTCCTCCTACTTTCAATTCCATTCCTCCTGTCCCCTTTTACACTAGAAAACTGAGGCTAGGTTGTATGTTGAAGGGGAAGATGCTGTGGAACTCTGAGCAGGTCACCTAACTTCTCTGTTTCTAAGGTTTCTTCTATGACATAAGGGAGTCAAACATAATAATAAATAAATTTTTATTCTTACTTTGTGCCTTCACAGAACTGTGCAGAATTGTCATAAATAACTATCATTTTGTGACAATTCTGCAATCCATACTGGGCTCGAGTGAGTAGTGCTTCAGCTAGTCCTTCAGTGTGAATTCCTGTGGCTGCATTCAGTTGTGAGCCATCTGGGGTGAGGCTTAGCTAGGACAGTAGAGCAGCTGGGACTCTCTCTTCCTGTAATCTCAGGGCCTCTGCTCCACATGGCCCCTCCATGTGTTCCATGCACACGATCTCTTAAGCGGAGTGGCTGGACATCCTATGAAGTGGCTCAAGACTCCTAAGACTGCAAAAGCAGAGGCTACCTGTGCCAGGCCCTCTTAAGGCTTAGGCCCAGAATTTGAGCCTCACGTCTGCTGTGTTCTCTTGGTTAAAGCAAGCCTCAGTTCCTCCCAGATTCAAGGGGAAGAAGCTATTCAAGGCTGTGAATGTGGAAAGTGTGGTTAATTATGGGCCATCAGTGTAACTGACTACCTCGGTAAACTTAGAAAACATCTGCTAGTTTAGTACCTAGACCTTCTGCATGCGGTGCTCTCTACTTCTAAAATCGTATTTTAAACAGTTACATTTTTTAAAATGATGTTCCCTGACAAGGTTATATTATTTTACCCAGAGGTTGTGTCACAGTATTTTCTTTCATGAAAATGCCTTTTCTATACTTTCTCACATTGCTATGGTCTTGTTGGTTTGCCTAAAAATGACTGGTCACTTGACTATTTTAGATGCGTGAAATTTTGGGTAATTTAGAGTAAACTTTTTCAACTACATATCTTATGGTATTATTTCTCATGCTTCCCCACTTTCTCCAGGATCAAGCATGTAATTGTTGAGATGCCTTTCTCTTTTTTTCCAACTTTTATTTTGGATTATGGAGTACATGTGGGGGTTTGTCACGTGAATATATTGAGTGATCCTGAGGTTTGGGGTACGAATGGTCCCATCACCCAGGTAGCAAGCATAGTGCCAATAGTTAATTTTTCAACTCTTGCCCCCCTTCCTCCCTCCCCCCTCTAGTAGGCTCCAGTGTCTATTGTTCACATCTTTTTATCCATGAGGACCCAGTGTTTGGCTCCCACTTACAGGTGAGCACATGTGGTGTTTGGTTTTCTGTTTCTGTGTTAGTTTGTTCAGGATAACGGCCTCCAGCTTCATTCATGTTGCTGCAAAGGAGATAATTTCAGGATTTTTAAAATGACTGTATAGTATTCCACAGTATATATGTACCAGATTTTCTTTATCTAATCCATGCTAATGGTCATCTAGGTTGATTGCATGTTTTTGCTATTGTGATTAGTGTTGCAATGAACATGCAAGTGCATGTGTCTTTTGGCAGAACAATTTATTTTCTTTTGGATATATACTATACCCAGTAATGGAATTGATGGGTCAAATGGTGGTTCTGTTTTAAGTTCTTTGAGAAATCTCCAAACTAATTTTCGCAGTGGCTGAACTAATTTACATTTCCACCAATAGTGCACAAACATTTCATTTTCTCCACAGCCTCACTTAGCATCTGTTTTTTTCTGACTTTTTAATAATATCCATTGTTACTGGTGTGAGATGGTACTCTTTGTGGTTTTGATTTGCATTTCTCAGATGATCAGTGATGTTGAGCATTTTTTTGTATGCCTTTTGGCAGTACGTCATTTTTTTTTGAGAAGTGTCTGTTCATGTCCTTTGCCCACTTTTCAAAGGGGTTGTTTTTTATATGTTGAATTATTAAGTTTCTTACAGATCCTGGATAGTAGCCCTTTGTCAGATGCATAGTTTGTGAATATTTTCTCCCATTCTGTAGTTTGTCAGTTTACTCTGCTGATAGTTTCCGTTCTGTGCGGAAGCTCTTTTGTTGAATTAAGTCCTACTTGTCAATTTTTGTTTTTGTTGCGATTACTTTTGAGGACTTAGGCATAAATTATTTTCCAAGGCTGATGTCCAGAATGGGGTTTCCTAGGTTTTCTTCTAGATTTTTATTGTTTGAGGTCTTACATTTAAGCCTTTAATCCAGCCTGAGTTAATTTTTGTGTGTGATGAAAGTTAGGGGTCCAGTTTTATTCTTTTGAATATGACTAGCCAGCTATCTCAGCACCATTTATTGAACGGGAAGTCCTTTTTCCATTGCTTATTTTTTTCAACTTTGCTGAAGATCAGATAGTTGTATGTGTGTGGCTTTATTTCAGGGTTCTCTATTCTGTTCAACTGGTCTATGTGTCTGTTTTTGTACCAGCACCATGCTGTTTTGGTTACTGTCGCCTTGTAGTATAGTTTGAAGTCAAGTAATATGATACCTCCAGCTTTGTTCTTTTTGCTTAGGATTGCTTTGACTATTGAGGCTCTTTTTTGGTTCCATTTAGAATTTTATAATAGTTTTTTTCTAATTCTGTGAAAAATGATATTAGTAGTTTGATAGGAATAGTGTTGAATCTGTAGATTGCTTTGGGCAGCATGACCATTTTAACAATATTGCCTCTTGCAATCTGCAAACATGGAATATTTTTCTATTTGTTTTGAAAAGAAATATGATTTCTTTTGGCAGTATTTTTAGTTCTCCTTGTAATAATTATTCACCTCTTCGGTTAAATGTATTCCTAGGTATTTGATTTTCTGTATGGCAACTGCAAATGTAATTACATTCTTGATTTGCCTTGAATATGCTTTCATGCTTGCCCTTGTTTTTTTTTAATTTTAATTTTGGACTTGCTGAACTCCTTTATTAGTTAAAATGCTTTGGGCTGTAAATATAAGAAAATCCATCCCACATCAGCTTACACAGGTGTTTTGGGTTGATCTGTGTCAACCCAAGTATTCTGCTGTATAGAAGTGCTACTGGTTTTTGTTCATTGATTTTATATGCTGATACTTTACTGAAGTCATTTATAATTTCTGGGAGCCTTTTGATGGAGGCATTAGGAATTTTTAGGTATAGAATCATGCTGTCCATGAAGAGATAGATGACTTCTTTTCCTATTTAGGTGCCTTTTATTTCTTTTTCCTGCCTGATTGCTCTAGCTAGGACTTCCATTAAGATGGCTTATACCAGTAGCCATGACCTCCTCTGTCCTCCCCCATACACTTCTTTTGGCATGAATATTTTCTAATTATTTGTTAAGTTTGAGCTTAGACAAATCTTGTTGTAGGAAACTTCCCATGACTCACTCTAAACCAGATTATAGATGATATACATCTTATTTGTACCCATAGAATCCTAAATATCCTCTATTCTAGCACTTGCCACATTAAAATTTTCTATTTGTTTTCTGTACCCTTCTCCTCCACCAAAATCTAGGCTCAGTGAGGACAGACACCATATTTGTTTTGTTTACTCTTATGTTTTTGGCTAGAGGAATGCTGTAACATGTTGAATGAGTGATGGAATAGATAAATCTCAAGGACTACAGCATTAAGGGCTTGGTGTTCTTTTTTTTTTTTTTTTTTTTTTTTTAAACTTGAGTCTGCAATATAGAAATAATATTTTGTTTTCTTATTGACTTTAACTCCTTCTCACTCCTAAACCTCAAATTCTTCTTTTTCCATGCCAATAGTGTGAGTAGTAATGGATAGAAACCCTCCTAGGATTTTTGTGTTAAAAGAGTGTTTTAAATCTACAAGACTCTCTGATTGGTGGTTCTAGACAGTGTGGATAAAGACAGTGAAGAAAGCTGACAGAGCCCAAGGGTTATTGAGAAGGCAACTGGAGGCATCCACTGGGCAGGGAGTCTTCTCAGATCTCTTTATTTTATTCTGAAGGTACTTTCTTCATCTGCCTGTGTGTTGCTCTTTCCTACACTGCATCCTTTCCGGCTGACATGTATTCTTTGCCGTCATGGTTTCACTAGGCTATGGTAACCGTGAAGTCATTCACATACATTAATGGGTTCAAGAGAAGTGTTTCTGGTGGCCTTTGAGACCACTTACCAGATAGGGAAATTTATAGCATGGTAGTGGACATTATTATCTTCCCATGTATATTCATTTGCTAGGGCTCCTATAACAAAGTACCGAAAACTGAGTGGCTTACACAACACAAATGTATTGTTTCACAGTTCTGGAGGCTGGAAGTCTGAGATAGAGGGGTCAATAAGAGTTGGTTCCTCCTGAGGCCCGTGAAAGAGAATCTCTTCCATGCCTCTCTTCTAGCTTCTGGTGGTTTGCTGGTGATCTTTTGCATTCCTTGGCTTATAGGAGCATCACTCTGATCTTTGCCTTCATCCTCACAGGGTATTCTGTCTGTGGATGAGTCTGTCTGCAACTTTCCCTTTTTAAAGGACACCAGTCATCTTGAATTAGGCCTCACGTTAACTTTATATGTTGAATTATTAAGTTTCTTACAGATCCTGGATAGTAGCCCTTTGTCAGATGCATAGTTTGTGAATATTTTCTCCCATTCTGTAGTTTGTCAGTTTACTCTGCTGATAGTTTCCGTTCTGTGCGGAAGCTCTTTTGTTGAATTAAGTCCTACTTGTCAATTTTTGTTTTTGTTGCACCCTAATGGCCTCATGTTAACTTTCTCACCCCTGGGAGGGCCCTATCTCTAAATACAGCCACATTATGAGGTACTAGGGTAGGACTTCCACATATGAATTTGGGAGGGGACACAGGTCAACCCAAAACACCTGTGCAAGCTGATATGGGATGGATTTTCTTATATTTACAGCCCAAAGCATTCTAACTAATACAGGAGTTCCGCAAGTCCAAAATAAAAAGTAAAAAATAAATAAATAAAATAAAAC